GTACCACCATAGCTCATTTCTTCCCCTATAAATAACAACTGATCTTAGTATTGTTCATCACTCAACAACAAACACGAGAAAGAATCATATATTGGAATATTTCAACCATCTTTTTTTTTCATCTTGGCTTTCAAAAACGTGATTTTTCTACTGGCGGTTTTATGCATTGCACTGTCTGCAAATGCTCAATTACCACAATTTCCGGCACCGTTTCCTTTTCCATTTTCATTCCTACCGAGCCCCTGTGTACCAGGATTACTTGATATAACAAAATGTTTGTCATCTTTTATGAATATTCCAGGGTGTATCGCAGAGTTTTCGCAATCTATACTCATTGGAAAGTTCGGAAACATAGGCCCTGCTTGTTGCAAAGCAATTTTGGAAGCTGAAACCAATTGCATTCCACAACTTCCATTCAATCCATTTTTTCCTCCTATGCTAAAGGAACAGTGTTCCAAAAATGTTGGCGCACTTCCTCCTACCAAAAAGTAGAATTTAATTACAAATAATGTTAACCGTTGAATTTTTTTTTCTTTTTTTTAGTTGAAAAATAAGATTAGGTTTACGATTTGTATCCAAAATTTTCAACGATATAATAATAGCATTATAAACGAGTCACTTTGTTTTTCCCAGTTTTACATAACAATAATCTATAAGAATTTTAATTAGATTGCACAAAAGCTTGCTTGAAGGTGTAATGACCTTTCAAGAACCAACATGAATTTAGATGCGCTATAAAAGCACTATTCCGGAAAAATAAAATTAGCATTCCAATGGATGATTGTTATTACGTTTTAAATTAGCAAACACTATAAAAATATGCGAAGTGTGTTGCACACTTATATTGAAAAATCTTAAAACTTGCTCAATCTTTAAAAATTAAAATGGTCAATATACATAATATACATAATATAAATGGATGAATTAAATTCACTAACTTTTCACATTCAAAAATTATAATAGAAAAGAGAGTCAAAATAGTAAATTTCAAATTTTCATCCATTATTATGTCATTCACAAACTTGTCTTTCATTTTTTTTACATTTAATCTTTTCATATATAGTTTACAATATCATCATTGAATAAGTATCTCGGTTTTTAGGTTATATGACCATAAATTTAAATAAATGTGAGTTAAATTTTAAAAACAATAATTATAATTTTTTATTTTACGAATATGGTGCATAAGATATGTCGTGGGATGTCTTATATTCCTAATCATTTATTTAGGTATGTGTTTTAGAATTTATTCCTAAAACTGTTCCTAATTAGAAAATATATACGTGAAATAATAAATACTTTAACAGAAAATGGAAAAGAGAGAACAGATACATAGGCATGTCGATTACGTCAAAAGCCTTAAAAATAGCGGGCTCAAAATTATATATATATATATATATATATATATATATATATATATATATATATATATATTCATAAAAGTCTGGTTTTTCTCGCTAAGCCCGTCCGGACTCAAGATTTTTGTGGTTTAATTAGCCCGGTCGAACTCGGGCCAGCTCGAAAACCCTTTAACAATATTTTGATTTTTTTTTTAATTTTTAAGATTAAGTGTCATATTTTTTAAAGATTGTTTTTAATAGAGTTGAAAACCCTAAACCAGGTTTTCTAATTGTGTCGTACTATATATATCATCTCCTTTGTCCTCTCATCAATAGTCTAAGTAGTTAATATTTTCCTATTAATGTCAATCGTCTCATCAAGGTGGCTGTGGACTCTCTTTTAATTTTAGTAACTTCTCATTCAATAAGAAAATAAGAAACTGCAAGCTTATTAATTATCTAATAAAAATTTGAAAGACGTTTTATGGAGACAAATACAATTAGTACCACCATAACTCATTTCTTCCCCTATAAACAACAACTGATCTTAGTATTGTTCAACACTCAACAACAAACACGAGAAAGAATCATATATTATATTGGAATATTTCAAACATCTTTTTTCTTACATCATGGCTTTCAAAAACGTGATTTTTCTCCTAGCGGTTCTATGCATTGCACTGTCTGCAAATGCTCAATTACCACAATTTCCGGCACCGTTTCCTTTTCCATTTTCATTCCTACCGAGTCCCGGTGTACCAGGATTACCTGATATAACAAAATGTTTGTCATCTTTTATAAATATTCCAGGGTGTATCGCAGAGTTTTCGCAATCCATACTCATTGGAAAGTTCGGAAACATAGGCCCTGCTTGTTGCAAAGCAATTTTGGAAGCTGAAACCAATTGCATTCCACAACTTCCATTCAATCCATTTTTTCCTCCTATGCTAAAGAAACAGTGTTCAAAAAATGTTGGCGCACTTCCTCCTGCCAAAAAGTAGAATTTAATTACAAATAATGTTAACTGTTGCATTTTTTTTCTTTTTTTAGTTGAAAAATAAGATTAGGTGTACGATTTGAATCCAAAATTTTCAACGATATAATAATAACATTATAAACGAGTCACTTTGTTTTTCCCAGTTTTACATAACAATAATCTATAACAATTTTAATTAGATTGCACAAAAGCTTGCTTGAAGGTGTAATGACCTTTCAAGAACCAACATGTATTTAGAACCGCTACAAAAGCTCGATTGACAAAAAATAAAATTAGAAGTCAAATGGAAGATTGTTATTACGTTTTAAATGAGCACAATGTCCGCACAGACGGCCCATATGGACGTGGTCATGACCAAATGACATCCCTAATCATATATTTCCTGGCCGGCTGGTCCTAGCAGATAGGAATAGTCCGTTGCACAAACTACACCGCCCATTTCCCCCATGACAAGACCCGGCTGGAGAACTAAATCACATGAGGCAGAATCACAATCTTTGTATCTTCCAAATTATTAGTCACCTTTTACTTAAATAAATATTCCCAAAGCTCATAACATCAAATAGTTTCAACAAAAAACAAAATCCTTCAAGTCCAATCTATAAGAATCCTAGTTTCGGTCTGATCATAGACCTACCTAAAAGTCTTTTAACCGTCAACAACAGATACGATTTGACACATGCTAGATCGCCTTGGTAATGCAAGGAGATTCTCCAAGGCGACCAAACTTTTCTTACACATGAGACGCCTCGAATGCACAACAAGTTTCTTGAGAACTACTGAGTTCTCAACAAAGTACCTTGCTACTCCAATTCCAAGAGACATTACGCCGAATCTGCTGAATTTTATCTCTACAAACTCTAGGGATGACAACAAACACTGAGGCGCGGACAAGATAGTTACTGAAGTAGAGTGAGTATAAAAATCCTGCAAAATACAAAGATTAATGAAAATATATGTAGATTTATATAAACAAAACATTTTAAACGCATATTAATTATGTTTAACCTCTAGGTTTCTGCTATCAATCACCAAGACGATGGATTTTAGATTCGGACAGCTATCAAGAAACATTGGCAGATTACTTATCCCTCTGGAACATGAGATTTCTGCTTCCAAACAGGACAGGTTGCAAAACTGGTGTGATGATTCTTCTTTCAAGTAGGAACAGATGACCTGCTTACATTGAAAGAAGAGAAGAATATGGGTAAGTAATGTTTTTTTGATCATATATATATATATATATATGACTATCATAGACATACCCTCATAGCAACGTCAGAGATAATCATATCTTTAACTCTCGAGATACCGATGAAAAAGTTACGGGCCACTTGGTTTGATGGTTTGCCAATAGCAAAGAGGCCAACAATTTCAACCTTGGCTAAGGAATCCAAATTACTTACGATTTTACTCCGCGATAATTCATTTCTGAACTTCAAATACTTGAGTCTAGGTGCATCAATCAAAACTCCAGAGTCTAAGCTATTAAACCCAAGAATCCCTCTACGATGCTCACTATAATCAAAGGCTACACTGAGACTGGTTAGTGTCTTAGAAAACACTCGTAAAACAGTTACATTATCACTTACCGTTCTAGTGATGCTCAAATCTTCAAGAACAGGGCAAGATGAGATAAGGAACTCTAGACACGTCTCATTAGCATAAACATTTTGCTCTAAATGCATAGTCTTGAGACAAGGTAATGAAATAGACTCAACATTACCTAACATTACTCCATGGAGTCTTAAGTAAAGAAGCGTCTTACTAATATAGAGGCTTAATGGCATCACTTCCAAACTCTCACTCTTCCAAAGAAGACACTCAACATCAAGATGCTTAGGTTTACTCTTAGCCACAAAATCTATCCAACGCGTGACACAAGACTTGTTATCATTCTCTTCTTTCTTACGAATACTTAGCTTAAGCTTGTGCAAACATGAATTCTCTATCTTAGAGAATTCTAGAAACTTTTCCATAAAACCCACAAAGGCGTTGTAATCTGGGAATGCACTAGAGTTCAAATCCAACTCAGGAATCAAAAGCCAGACAGTTTTCCACCTATTGGACAAAACACTGGTACTAACAGCTTCTTTTGTCGGAAGATACGAGAGCATCTGAGATATCAAAGCGTCAGGTAATTTACTTATCAGATCCTCTCTCGCATTTGAGGATCCTGCACGCCGTTTCACTGATTCCTCCATCAAATGAGCTCACAATATCGAACCGTTTAGTGGCACTCGAGTGAAAATCACTTTAAGGGTTTTGTGTTTTGGAAGATGATACGGCCAGAGAAGAAGCAAAGAGAGAGCGTTTAGGTTTTGCATGCCATTTGGTTCATCTCCTCCTCAAGCTTCACGATTCTCAAGTTGTCTTAAAATTTTCTCTTTGTTTGGCCCAAAGGGCCCAATAACAACTCTGGTTTCATAAGAGTTTGAAACGCTGCGTTTAACCGTTTAGTACTCTATATATATAAGCCCTCAAAACATTAAAGCCATTTTGTTTTTGACATCAACACTATGCCAGATTTTAGAAACGAAATTAAAAACAAGAATAGCTCTTTAAGGTGATGATATTGTTTGCTTTGTTTTATTAATAAGAAGCATATCCATGAGGATGAAGCTTTTGCCACCTCCAAGCAACTTGAAGACTATCTTGAAGATTAGTAAATCGAGCAGTCCAATTCAAATCTTTCAAAATCTTTGTCGGGTCACTATACACTTCTGCGTAATCTCCTGGTCGTCGAGGCAAGAAATCTACTTTGATCTCAACTCCTGTTGCCTTCTTACATGCCTCCACGAATTCTTTAACCGATCTTCCTGTTTAACCAAACCACAAAATGGTTAATATCACATTGTTACTAAAACTTCTGCATTGAAATCAAATTATGGTAGTTAAACGAATCCGCTTCTTGATCACAACAACATGGAAGTTGGACTTTTGGAGATTAGTATGGAATGTTATAAGAAGAAGGAAAACAGAGTTATTGTGTAGTAAAAATGTTAAAGTCAAACACCTTTTCCGGTTCCAACATTGTAGATACCGACTTTTCGAGGCTGAGCTTTCACGAGAGCCTTCACGTGAGCATCCACGAGATCAGTAACATCTATATAATCTCTAATGCAAGTACCATCCGATGTTTTGTAATCTGTTCCTTTCACCTATCACAAACCATATCGTATAAAGGATGATGCAGTATATGATTATAGATTATAGATTTTTTTTTAAATAATGTTTTTTACTTGTAATCCAGGAATGAAACCACGAGCTGCATCGAAACAAGCACCAGAAATCCGTCCTTGCTCGCGAAGCTCGGGTCTTGGAGCTTCTCCTAATCTACCTCCTGGATCTGAACCAATCACATTGAAGTATCTGCAAAAGTTCATAAGGTATTTGAATAATTTGTTTCACTCATCATAGAGTAAAAAGAGTACTCAATGAACTAAACCTTAAGATCATAACCGCCATGTCAGAGTTCTTAGAGAAATCCAAGATCATATCCTCTGCCATCTTTTTGGCTTTTCCGTAAGGGTTAATCGGGACCTACAAATGATATTTTCGATAACAAGAACTCCGAAAAAAGAATTGTATAGCTCAAAAATAAGGTTATTTACCTGCGGAGTATCTTCGGTAATCGGCATTTTTTCAGGCTCTCCATATGTAGCACAAGTGCTAGAATATATCAATTTCTTCACTTTATGTCTAGCCATAGCTTCAAGAACTCCTAATGTGTTTGATGTAATGTTATGGTAATATCTACAATAAACAAATATGCAAATAATGAGACCGAAAAGAACAAATTGTTGCAGCTATGTTTAGAACTATAGAACGAATTAGGACTGTACTTAAGAGGATAAAGAGTGCTTTCTCCAACATAAGCTACCGCAGCAAAATGCATCACAGCGTCAAAAGCGTTCTCGGAGAAGATTTTCTCGACCTGAAATTATATCGGATAAGTAAAAAGCAAAAACCAAAACTTTTAACCTTCATAGGATAACAAATATCAAAAGGTTATAAAGAATACCGCTATGGGATCTCCTAAGTCAGCATAAATGAATTGAAGTCTTCCCGTTTGCGGAAATAATCGCTGTAAAGTCTTAACCGCACCAAGATTCCCACGCGAAAGATTGTCCTGTTGAGATAACAAAAGTTAATTAATGTTTTCAAATTTCATCAAATAATTATTGACAATTTTGAAAGTAGTCTAAGTTACCACAATGGTTACGCGGTATGAATCTCTAAGAAGTCTTAAAGCAGCATGTGACCCGATATAACCAGCACCACCAGTGACTAGCACATGAGTCACTCCTTCCTCTCTTCGAGAAAACTGAAAGCAAACACAATAAACCGCAGAAAACATTATGAAAATGTAAAGCTTGTAAAGGGTTTTTGGAGTATGAGACGATGGAGATACCGCGCTTGGAGATGTAAAACTTGAAGATTGACTGATCACAATAACGGCTAAGATTAGGAGAGAAGCTACTAAGAGAAGCTTTCCAGTGAGATTGTTCTTTGTTTTCGGTTCTAAGCAATCCATTTCTGAAAAATCCAAAAAATTTCTCAGAATTATAATATAAGATATATGTCATAAGCAAATTTGTTAAGACTTAAGAGTAATAATCTATCTACCTCCTAGAGACAAAGGTCTTGGGTTTCTTCGTTGAGTTCTTACTACTGACGAATTTAGCATTTGAAAAACTTCAAATTTGTTCTGGTTTTAGAATAGAAACAGAGACTTGAGACCAAAGCAACATATATAGTCCCACAAAAAATCAGTATCTAGCAACAATGAAGATCATGTTGCTGGAGATTGCTGCAAAACAAAGGAAGAATTTACAAAAAAATAAAATTATTGCTAACAGAAATAAAAAGGTCAAAGCTACCAAATTCTGCATACATTTATATGCATGGAAAAAAAAACAAAGAGATAATAATATATGTTGCAAGTGGGACCTTAAGCAGCCAGAAAAAAAGTTTAATTTTCTGACAAAATTTATGTAAAAATGAGAATATAGGGAGTTACTTTTACATTCAACTGATAAATTATATATATGTTATATTAAAATAATGAAAAGATTATAACAAAATACTTAGTCAAAAAAAGTTGCATAGGAAAAAGAACAGAACAGAGTAAAACAAAAAATTGGAGGCAGAGACAGAGTCTTGAAAATGTAAGAATAGTCATCAAAATTGATTAAAACTCCGATCAATTTCGAGAAAACATTCTGATCCAATTCCGATTATAATTTTGATGTAATGTAAATAAAACTAGGAAAAATCACAAAATGGTCCTAATCAGTAAAATCAGAGTTTAAAAAATAAACTATATAGAAGATTGGTGATGATGATGATATTAATTAGATTAGATTTCATTTTGTCGAAAACAAAACACAGAGAGATTGAGAGAGAGATTTGTGCACCTGAGAATTGTGAGAAGACGAGAGAAACAGAGGAAGGCGTTAAAAGATGGTTTAGAGTATGAAACGCGCGATGTTATTAACAAAGTATGAGAGAAACTCGTGACGAAGAATAACGTAAGAGAGAACCAGAGAGAGAGAGAGAGAGAGAGAGACGAGAGGAAGAAGACGAAGAAACTCAAAGAGGAAACGTGAATTGCAAAACGAGAGCACGACTACGACCTGGTCGCGCACTCTCTTTTCTCTATAAGCGTTTTCTTTTTCTTTAATATAGTTATTTTAGATCATGGAAATAATTTTAGTACTTTATCTCCTTATTAAAAATATAGTAAAATAGCTATCTCTTGTTTATAAGGTTGTTATTATGTATCTCATATATATGCATTTTTTTTAAAAGAAACTTAATCATGGCTATATGACTAAAGCACATCCATTAATTTGGAAATAGTTTTGTTGACTTTTAAAGTGGACAGTATAAGGATTTAATTTCATAAATGTGCAAATATTTTCAGAATCTACTTATTTTTAAAATAAAAATAGTATTAATTTAAAAAGGTAGCAAAACAAGAAAAGAAAGATAATCTAATGTGTTGTAAATTGTACTAGATAGAGATATTTCTCATACTAATCTCAAAAAAACAAAAATATCACTCACTTGAAAACATTATTTACGTTACTTAAAGTGCACTAGCGTTCTAAAGCTTCCGTACGTCTAGATTTGTTTTACAAAAAAAATTGTTTCTTTGTAGACGTCACAATTTTGCAAAATATTGATCAAAAAATTTTTTTGGAAAATAATAAATTTACCAACATGAAATCGATTAACAAAAAAATTAAAAAATTGTTTAACAGTATGTACTATTTCAACATAGCTAAAAACATATATCTCTCAAATAGAGGGCAAAATCTAACAAAGAATCAAATCCAAAATATGAATCCGGAGTAAATAAAAAAAAAACGTAGATATTTTGGCTTTTTAAGCCAATTTAGTATCTCAAAATAAAAGAAAAATAATTTATTGGCCACCTAACCTAATTTTAAAGGCTGATCAATTAGAGTTTAGAAGCCAATGTAGAGTGGCTAACTACCCAATAGTTTAATCAAAGTCAAACAAGAGTTATGAATCTCTCTTGGATATTAAACAAAAACAACTATATATAATACAAATAATTGATGATAAATGGAAGTAAAATAAGTGTGGCTGCTTAGTTGTAGCGACTGCCCAACTATCTAACGTGTTTGGCCATCGTAGTCAAATCAAATGATTTGATCCTACATTTTGCATGTAATTATTCTATCAATTTTGACTTATATACGCAACTCCATTAACAAATACATCTATATGCCCCAATTATATATTTACGCAACTACTATGTTGGAGTTTAGTTATATGTAAACATAAAAAAGGTATCCTCTATATAATATAAGTATAAAGTTGTTAGGAAAAAGAGATAGATTAGTTTTCCGATTAAAAATTTTGTTTGGATAAGAAGAAATCAACAACTATCTTGTGTAGTGATGTATCAAATTGGCATGCATTAGAAAAAAAAAAAAAAAAGACAAAAATTGACATGCATTTTGAATTTAGTGTGCTTACTATATACACAAAATGTAAGATCAGCGACATGACTAACCATTGGAAATGGCTGATAAATTTGTCAAAGGCTCTATCATATGAAAAGGAGGCTAGCAAGTTGGAGCAGGAGAAAAATGCGTAGGGAGTAAAAGTATCGATCTGAGTTTAAAAGTTTCGATGTGAACAAGAGATGTAATAGAAGCTAAACGCACTACTAAACTGGCGGAAAAGCGTGAGTTGATGTTGTAACTTCCCAAAAGGATAAAAGTGAGAGTAAGAGAGACAAAAGACTGAATCGGAGGTGGAGGCTGTCAACAAACAAGAGTCGAGAGTAGGAAATTAAGTCATTAGTTGCTAATGGAAAACCAATGAAGATAGGGATCATAACGTAAAGTCACTTATGAAGCTGTTGGATGAAAAGAGTGAGGAAGGCATTAGGATGCGAGACTTCCTCACGTGGACAAGAATTGAAAATGATTTTGATATGGGCATTGGAGAAACAAATGATAGAATCTTGAGGACTAGTAAACGATCTCGAAGCACGAGTCATTAGTGTTTATGTTACATAATTAGAATTTCAAATTACTTGGAATTATATTGCATTTCATTGTAGAAATTTTTTCCAATGTGATAAAAAAAAATTAAAAATTTGGATCGCAACATATAAATTCTTAAACATGTTAACATGTTCAGGCTAAATGTTCCGCAAAGTGATATCAAATGATATCATGTCCCACATATCTGAAAGAAACTTATCAACTTCTACAACTATTTCAGTGTTTTTTTCAATGTACTATGCGATGCCAAACAAAAAATCTATTTGACTATCTAAAATAAATAATTAACATATATGTAACTTGAAATCTTTTAATTCAGTGTTTTTTTTTTCCCGAAATTTATTAATGTTCAACCTCATTCCCAAATAAAGTAGACAACTTATAAATTTTCACTAACAACTCATTTTTCATTTTTCTCTCTATTTAATACTTCTTGCGTTAAGATACCAAACAATTAAAAGATTATACTCTCTCCGTTCTTTTATAAGTGATGTTTTAGGAGAATGCACATAGATTAAGAAATCATTTAATTTTTGTTTATTTCTAAACTAAAACATCATTTATTATCTAATCAACCAATAAAAAACAATCTACAGAATATAAATCGTCAAAACCAATACAAAAATAAGTATTTAATTTTGCATTAAAAATTGAAAACATCATCTATTTAAAAACAAAATTAAAAGCTTAAAACATCACTAATAAAATAACAGAGGGAGTATACAACTTCTCGGCAAACACAAACTAAAATTCCTTTTTTTTTTTTTGTCACCAATTGTGTGTAAAAATGATAATGAGTAAATTGTGTCCCATAGTTACATAGAAATGATATATTCGAAAACATTCCAAAAGGTATTCGCCAAGCAGCAGAGGTTACATATCAACGCAAACAAATTAGCAATGTTTGTGGGCGGTATAGGAACAAAGCAGGCACTTATAGAGGCTGCGGTTGTTCATGGTATACCAACAAACTCTCTACTTATTCGTTACCTAGGGTTGCCACTCACTACTAATTAAGTCAATGACGACTCTTGACTATTGTGCATGGATAAGATACGTTCTCGAATGCTTTCTTGGACTAGTAAGCATTTATCTTATGCTGGGCGATTACAACTAATCTCCTCCATCATATCTAGTATATCAAACTTTTGGTGCTTAGTGTTTAGATTACCGGCTTGATGCTTTGACGATATTGAGAAGCTATGGATGGCGTTTTAAGGTCAGGAAATTCAAACAATTCAGTGTTAGCCAAAGTAGCTTGGAGTGATGTGTGTAGACCAAAAAAGGAGAGGAGACTTGGGCTGCGACGAATGAGGGATGTGTCCCGTGTCTTTTCCTACCGTCTAATTTGGCGGTTATTCAATACGGCGGGTTCACTATGGGTTGCTTGGACAAAACAATATCTAAAGAAAGGGGGTTTTTTCTAGACAGCCCCAAATACAATACTAGGTTCCTGGGTTTGGAGGAAGCTTCTCAAACTTTGAGAGGAAGTGATGCCATTCATTAGGGCAAAGGTTGGCAATGGGGAAACTGTTTCTTTTTGGTTTGACCGTTGGTTACCGGTTGGACTTATTTTGGATGTCACAGTTCCGGTTGGGCCAAGGATACTTGGCATTCTGTTAAAAGCAAGGGTTAAAGAGGTTGTTGATTATCATGGTTGGAAGCTACGTCGCACGAGATTGGATCTGGAATGCGAATTTGGGGACATCAACAAGGTTGCGTTTTATGTGGAGAGATAGATGAAACACGTGATCATTTGTTTTTCGCATGTCCTTATTCGTTCACAGTTTGGTCAGCCGTTATTGCGGGAAAACTTCTTCGTCACAATCTGAATCCGGATTGGGAAGAGACTATGTTTGCAATTCAAGAGCTTTCGAGTGACAAATTGAGAGATATTCTTGTTCAGCCCTGTTTTCAAGTGACATTATACTCCATCTGGAGAGAACGCAATGCACGCATTCATGGGAATGACTACTTGACATCCATTCACTTGGTTCGAAATATAGAGAAGCTTGTTCGAAACAAGATTACATCCCTCGATCTCTCCATGAAACCACGTCTCCGTCTTCTGATGCAAAGTTGATTCATGGTCAGACCTTAAATTTCAGTTCATGCTCTATTTTTTGTCTTCTCCTATTGCAAACTGTTTTTGTAGTTGGTCTAGTTGGCCACTTTTGTACATAAACATTCTTTTATAGCTTTAATAAATTACACATTTAAACAAGCAAAAAAAAAAACATTCCAAGAGGCGATCATTTTAGCTTTGTAATTTTTTTTGGTAGAGATGTCATATTCTTATGCGAGGATTTGAAATTGAGGACTGAAAGCAATTCATATGCATCTATTCTTATATGTCATCAAACAAGAATATCTGAATTCAAATTCAGATACGTCAATTTATATGTCATTTTATAATTTTCCTAATAAAAACATTTTTTTGAGAGATAAAATTCATGTAGCTAGCTAGCTAAAAGTTTGTCTGATTTGTTTTGTGTAAACTAGTTTATATGAGCAAATTTTACCGGGAATTGTCCGATCTTTCAATATTATGGCAGTGAAAGGTCCAATAGAACTAGACTTCTTTATACTTGTCCAAAACCATCATATTATCTTTTAACTAATACACATCAGTAGAAACTCCATGCTATAAGAGGAATTCTATATATCGAATTCAGAGGATGTATATTCTTTGGGTTTGCAAATGTGAAGGCAGCTCCACCGATCATAGTTGAGTTGGTGATCTTACAAGTGATTACTACCTTCCAAAGAGATGAATTCTCCTTATAAAAAGAGAGAAAATGAAGCAAAACAATCTATATAAAAATCAATGAAAATCAATATATAGAGAACAAATAATGGAAAACAATTAGCAGAGGCAAACAATATATTTTCAGTACCAAAATCATGTTTGTGTTTTCCAATTCAGAGCAAACCAAGTATA